AAATTTTATTAAAATCACGTGTTCCAAGTGGTTCTCTTTTCTCTTTATAAAAATCCTACCTCTGGGGGTAGTTAGGTGGTTACCATGTGTCCCTGGGATGAACCATTGATTCTATACCTGTTCCTAATAACACAGTTAAATTTGTCAGTGCTTGTTTCAACTCCTAGATCACGTGTTCCAAGTGGTTCTCTTTTCTCTTTATAAAAATCCTACCTCTGGGGGTAGTTAGGTGGTTACCATGTGTCCCTGGGATGAACAATTGATTCTATACCTGTTCCTAATAACACAGTTAAATTTGTCAGTGCTTGTTTCAACTCCTACTTCTTTAAGGTTGGGATGTATGTGTGTGCATGTGTGTGTGCATGCAGGTGTGTACATGTGTGTATACACATGAATCGCAATGCACGTGTGTACGTGTGCACATGTACGAGTGTATGTGTGTGCAAGTCCATGTATGCATGTGTGTGTGTGTACACCTGTCAATTAGTTCATTTAAAGATGTCCGTTGACAACTACTCTGGGCTTGGCACCATTCCACGAGCACATGAGCGAAGAGAAAACGTGGTCCCCGTGCTCAAGGAACATAAACCCTCACAAAACAAAAACTGTGTTCATACGAGGCCAGGTGCTCTGGCTGATCAGGTCACCTGTGAGCAGCAGGTGCATGAAGCAGGGAAGGGAGCAGGTGTGCCCCTGAGGAACAGCGAGCGGTCATCACCACGGCAGCGGTGGATGGGGGGCGGGGGACGGACCCTCATGCTGCTCGGCCCTAGTCAGGACTTGGAATTAACTCTGCAAAGGGGGCACCCTCATGAAGGTCTGAGCAGGATGTGAGTGAGTGATGTGTATGCTGTGGATGTGTGGACGTGTGTGCAGTTAAGTTTCATGGCCTGCGTCCAGCTGCAAGGACCTTGCACCCTCCTGTTAGATTCTGGGTGAGATGATCTTCAGAGGGGCTGTGGTGTAATCATTGCAGCCCAGAGGTGGCAAGGACTGTTTGAATGTTGTGTCCCTCCATATTGCAGGGGCAGGGTCGCTGCATCTTGCCAGGCAGAGCAGAGGTGTTTCACTGTTGATGGGGTTGGAATGTGAGGGGAGGTGTGCAGGGTGCTGTGAATCCCCAGGGTGCCAGCTGCCCTCGGGTTTCTGCCGCAGCCGCACTTTCTGACTCTGTGGTGCTACAGCAAGCGCTCTGAAAGCCACGTGAGCCTTCGCCAGCAGGGTGCAGCCGGACACGGGCAGGCTGCAGGAGGCAGGGGAGGCTCCTCTGGCTTACCTCCTGGCCCCTGGGGAGAGCTCCTTCACCCTGGCAGCAGCACCACTCAGCAGGGCCTCCCACCCAGAGGCCAGGGTTCCAGGCTCTGGTGCCCCCTCCAAGCACAGACACCTGTGGTGACCCTGCATGTCCCCTCACTCGGCAGTGCCTGACAGCTTATGCAGGCTCTTTGGGTGCAACTCCCTGTCTGAGTATAGGCTGTGGTTCCTGCCTCCTGCTGGGCCTGGCTGTGCAGACAGACTCAAGTGTGGATGCAGGGAGACCTCTGAGGAAGCCGCTGCCATTGCCCGGTCTCCACTGGGTGGTAGTTTAATGACCTGTCTTCACAGAGTGGTGTGAGGCCAGAGGAGGTGTCTCCTTCCTGATGGACATCTGGACAGTCGGAACTGGCTCTCTGAAGCTGTGTCCCTACATTTCAGGTGTGTCCTGAAAGAGCTACTTAGCAAAGTCACTCCACAGCTTAGGTGGAGACTGTGTCTATGAGGCAGGACTCTGAAGAGCCCTGTGTGGCTGTGGTCATACATGCTTCCTGAGATGACATAGTGACCTTCCGATATGCCAGTCCAAGGAGAATTCTTCTCTTAAAATCTTGGGTCTTTTTGATGAGAGTATTAGTGTCTTTGCTTTAGGAAACTGCTTAAAATTTCTTCTACGTTTTGTAACAGTTTGTGCAATGACCATGCAGTGGCCTGAAGTTTCCTCAGATCTGCGTCATCTCCTCGTGATGATTGTGATATTTTGGGAATCATCGTGGTTTGTTCTTGGATGAGAGGTGTCATATTAGGAAAAATAGTTCTGAGGGTTTTTATGGGAAAATAACTGGTTTAACTTCTTGAAAATAAACATCTGAACAGTACATGACAGAACGAAAGGGAAGGAGTGTGAGGTTGCAGAGGTTCGCACTGTGTTCTGATAACTTGCTTCTTAAAAAGCTTCTCTTAAATTTTTGTGTGGTTACGCAAGGTACATCCCAGACCTCAAACTGACCGCGGTCAGACGGGAGCCGCTCCCCGTGAGCCGTCCCTGTGCGAGTCCACGTTCGCGAGAAGCACAGTCGTGCTCGGCCCGAGTGCCGCGCTTGCCGTGAATATGAACAAGCACAGGAGTCAGCACAGCCACGTTAGTCCCGCCCCGGGGGCCTTATTTTGCCAGCGTCCTCGCACACCACCGTTAAAACGGTCTCCTCTAATTAGCCCTGTAGATGTCCCAGTTGTGTTGGACACACAGAGGTTAATTACCTCACTTTGTCATTGCGTAGCAAGAGTGCCACATACATCAGAAAGCGATGGCCTTATCTTCCTGTTTTTATTATATCAGTAAATGACTCATTTTGAGAATGAAAAAACATAAATATTTTATGATTACTGATATTTTTAAAAATCATAGCAGGTGTTTTTATTTTATGGATTTTTCAAACTGGATAGGCTACTCTTTCTGTCTTTGAATAAGATATTTGCTTTTTTGTGATGTGAATGTATAGTAGTACTAGACAGCTGATCCAAATGGAAAAACTAAAAAAAAGTGTAAAGGTTTCAATGCTTTTTAAAATGAAACAATTTTATTACACAGGAGATTTAAATTTCAGAAATAGTTGCTTATGTTGGTATTTTGCTTTATTAGTTTTAGATCTTGCTGTCTTTTTAAAAAAAATAAATGAAACGATTACTGGTGGAGGTAACACTCCACCCTGTCTCTCATCCATCTTTGACGAGTCCTTCTGAGTTTGGTGGACTCTCTCCCTGGCGGGCACACGCAGCGTCTGCGCGGAGGCCTCGGACTCCCTGTCTCTGGGCCGCTCACGTTTCGCTCCGTGTTGTGTGTGTGCATTTTGTCCATTTGGACGCGTTTCTGGTATACACCTTCAAGCCTATCGATTTCCCTCTCAATATTGCTTTAACTGCATTTTGCCATTTTTAGCATGTACTGTTTTATTATTGTTTAGCACTGAATATTTTCTAATTTTTATTATGGTCTTTTTCAAGCCAGCCTTTATTTAGATGTTTGCTTTTAGATTTCCACATATATAAGTTAATTTTTGGTAATCTTTTTTGCTACTGATTTCTAGTTTTACAGCATTGTGTTGAGAGCATGTGCTCTGTATAGTACTGATTTTCTTGGTGTCTTTTGAGATTTTGTATTTGTTGAGAAATTTGGCTTTCTGGCTTGCTTTTTATAGATATTACATATATGTATAAAAAGAATGTATTTTTGCCAACTACTGGATATACGTTTGCACAGATGGTCATTGGCTCAGCCTTGTTAATTATATGTCAATTGTTCAAGTCTTTCTGGTTTTTTGTATGCTTGATATTTTTTTAATTAGAGAAAGGTGTTAAAATCTCCCATTGTGGTTATAATATTGTCAATTTCTCCTTAAAATTCTATTATGTATTTGAAGGCCATGTTATTAGACATATTTAAGTTCAGACTTACATTTTCATGTCCAGTTATTCCTTTTATCATTTTTAAGAAACTGTTCTTAATTAGGCTTTCTTTGCCTTATATTAATTTTTTCTAGTGCTTCTGCAATCTTGCCTCTGCATAGCTAGTGTGTGCTGTTTTTCCCACCCTTTCCTTTCAGCCTTTTAAAAAACGTCTTGTTTTAAGTGTTTTTCTTGAAATCCAGCCTAAGACTATCTTCCTTCCTGTGCTCATTTAGTCTGTGTGTGGTTACTGTGATTACTCACCCACTGGGTCTCATTTTTGGCTTTTTCTTCTACCTTTAAAAAAATTCCTGTTCTTTCTATTTAGGGTGAATTTTCATTGCTTTTTTATTTCCTCTTCCTCACCCTCTACTGGATGCAACAGAATTTTTAAAAATTCTCTTTTTCTCTCAAAAGGTTTGATCATTATATATCATTTATTTTCTGTTCAGTTTTTCACTCTTTAGCCACAAAACTTGCAACTGCTGTGAGGCGTCATGACTGCCATCATCTGTGTCTGTCTTTCCATTAGAACATTATGGAACTTAACGTAAGCCTCTGTTTCCCGTTTGTCAGCGAAGAGCCTTCTCTAGGTGTGTTCCAAGTGTAAGTTCTTGCGGGCATCCTTCGTTAACTTTATCTTAATATTTTGGATATTCTTGACGTAGAAGGAAGACGGAAATCACTGTGATATATTCAGGTAATGTTTGGAGTCAGATGTTCTGTGAATGGAGTTAGGTTCCATTTGGTGAGACGTTTTAGATTAGGACAACATTTCTTTTGTCAGCAGCATGGGGTGGGCAAGTCAAAATCAGGGCCAGGACCTTGCGGCGTCTCGGAGGCCACGGTGGATGTCATCTGCGTTGTCATCACAGGAAGCTGCTCAGAGTATCTTAGGGTTTGCTATTTGGTAGATTAATAACTGACCTTAACCTTAAGTGGCTTATTAAGGGGCATCTTTCAGATAATTTACTGAATATGGGTTATGATCTATACTTTACAAATCAATTTTGGTGTGTAAATATCTCAGTCTTTTGTTCTCCTACCATTTTATAGTTCTATAACTCTCAGTGGCATTACATATAGAGGAAACATACATCGATAATTCTTAAGGTCAAAATGTACCCTCGTTAATTACTTTATATGGAAATTTTTGGACTCCAATTCTGAAATTGTTATAAATAAGAAAAAAATTTGTGTTAATTTTTACTTTAGATTCAGATATTGTTAGATATCATTAGTATAATGTTTATTAATTCTGCATTTAAAAGTACATCTCAATTTTCCCGTTACAATTTTAGGGATCATCCTTTACGACCCAACAACCCCAGGCTTATAATCTTTTCCTGACCACGGCCATTGGTGATGGGATAAAACTGTGGGACCTGAGAACCCTGAGGTAAGGGCCATCTGCTCCCTGGCATCGTGGTGGGGGTGAAGCTAGAGAGCGTGAGCTCAACTTGATTCTCATTCCAAATATGATAAGGTTGTGGTTAATCTGTGCACGCTGACGAGTGTAAGAAAAGGCTGATTTATGCGCAGAAAAGGTCACGTGTACATTTGAAATGGGGAAATAACCCCCTGGATTCTCCCATCTCGTGGCCAGTGGCTGTGCTAAGGCCCCATGGCATGGTGGAAAACCCTGAGGTTTCGGAATGGGCTGTGGGCTTGCTCTCGACTCTGCCATTTACAGCTTGGAATGATTTGGTGAATTTCTTTGTATCTCATTTCCTTTTTAAAACAAAGAGAATCATACCTGACTTACAATATTATGAATATTAGCTGAGATGATATATGTGTAGTTATTTACTGAATCCTCAGTGCCCAACAGGCAGCCAGCAGCATCCATTTTCTCGTGATTGTTATTTAAATCACAGTTTCAAAGGGGGACACTTTTTGACTTTGTCTCCTGATCTCGTTGACCTGAGCTTTCAGCAGCCTGCAAGGAGTTCACTTTGTGGTTTATCAGAGATTGTCTGCTGTACTCACAGTGTGCCCTCCAGTTCCTCGCAGGCCCTTTCTTTGGACCCAGCACAGTCACACTTTCCTGCATTGATGTTCCACGCATGACCGAGGTGCTTCACTCCTGTGAACTCCTGTGAGCCCACTTTTTATGTGAGGAAGACGAGGCACAGGGGCTGGTGGCTTGCCAGAGGTCACCCAGTGAGGAAGGGCCTGGGCCAGGGCTGGGTCACCCTCCACGCCTCGCCGCTGGGCTCTTCAGGCGAGTTGCACCTGCACTGCTGTGGCGTGTCGTGGGCTAAACGTAGAAGGACATCAAACTGCATAGTGTGAACCTCAACTTTGTTAAAAGAAAACAGAAACTGTGGATATGCAGTGAAAAAGTGTGGGATGTCTGGCACATCGCCTCCTGTGCTGGTTGTTTGATGGAAGGGTTACAAGTGGTTTGACTTCTTTTTTTTTTTTAATAGTAAGAGAAGAATGTAAAAATTTTTTTAAAAATGTAAAAGAAAAAAGTGATTAAATATATTACAGATATTGTGACAAATAGTTATTACATTTCTACCGAGATTTAATATCTTTTCTCAGTAGTACAATACCACTCATGGTATTTTCTAAAACCTTAGCTCTGTGTACAGAATTTTTCCAGACATAATTACCTCCATACAGTTGTGCTACACAGGACATGGTGGGTATTCAGTAAATAAAATAGTGAATTTGACAGAGAGAAGGAGCGAATTAATGAATTACACAGCCAGACACGACACATTTGTCATGGTTGTATGTGAGCGTTCTGCTCTCAAATGTCTGGCGAGCGAGCGTTTTAGGACACTGGCTATGGAGCACGTGGTTGTGGGTTGTAGCTGCGGCTCTGGGGCTGTGTTTTCAGTGGAACCAGGGCCTGCACGAAGCCAGCTCGGCCTCTGCTCAGAGACAGCTCTGTGACCTGAAGCTCCAGTGCTGCGCCTCATGTGTCACAAAGTGGACACTCCTTAGAGTGTAGGGCTTCCTTTCATTGACATTTGTGTAATTAATATTGGAAGACTTATTTTTGTAGTTATCAGAGAATTTTGACAGGAGCCTTTTAAGTTTCAGGAGACTTATGGTAAGTCTCTAGTGTAACATCATAGAACTGCAGACATTGCGTGGAAAAAAAATTAATGAGAAAATATTTAGCTAAACTGACTTAAGTTATTGTCCTAAAATAGCTTTTAAAATATGTCATTTATGTAAATACTCAATATTCAATATTAAAATAAGTATATTTCTTGTACTTGGTCAACAGAAATTAATTTTCTAAGGTAATGAAACTATATATTTATTTTAAAAGCGAAATTGTTATGACATTGCTTGTGCAGAACTGATTCGTATTCACACCAGCTTTCTTTTATTTTACAGCCAGCTCCATGGAAGTAAGAGCTATAACTAGATACACAAAGATTGCACATCTTTATGTGAATAGGCTTCCAAGTATTTCAAAGCTAGATAATTCAGGTGGCTACACACTGTGATCAAATTTTTCCCAGTCATATGCCTCATTTAGAGATTGTTTGCCATACATATTCTGTTAATTTTACATATTTATATAAAATATAAAATATTTTATTTAAGCAAATGTAAACAAGTTATTCTGGAGATCTTTAAAAAATTACTCATTTTTCAAAATTACATACATATGTACATTTCACACATATATATTTCACACACATAGATTTACTCTAATGTGTACATTTATTTATTTATTTTTGTTAAAAAATTTTTATTTTGTCAATATACAATGTATATGATTATTATGGCCCATCA